AAATTAGAAGTCTTTGTTAGATTAGAATCCCTTCATCCAAGACATTAGGCTTTGAACAATTGCAACAGAAGCAATTGAGAGTGATCACCAAAAGAGTGATTGAGAGTAATCACCTTCACTGACAGACCCCTTATGCTTTTCTAAGCTATAAGACCATTTTCTTAGTGTGATGTGATGTCCTCATTGCAACTAATTTTGGTGATCAATCCATGTTGGCCTCATTCATCAAAGCATCAGAATAAAAGTCTTACCCACTGAGAGAGCAGCTCACCAGCAGATCTGTGCATGTCTTCTCCTGAGTTGCTCACTTCTTCAATGTATGCACTCATTCATTGCAGGCAAAAATGGTTTTGATACTCCTTTCTGCACAATTACAGACTCCAAATATATACATATTAATTGATGATAGTATATTATATATATATGCATGGATATATTTTTATTCTAAATATTAAAATAGTAATTATTTCGAAAATCTAAATGAATCACTTTCAAACATGATATAAAAAAATAATTTTGATATTTTTAATATCATAATGAGCTTTTAATGAGTTAATACAAACCAGAATTCTATTCTTTTTGGATCATAATCTCTTTTGGACCAACTACTCAAACACTGAAATTATTATTTATCCTTCTAAGTTTAATTTTAACATGTATACATGCACATATAAACCCAAAAAGTCATAAATTCTGGCAATAATGTGCTTTGACTGTTATCCAACTTTTATCAATAATAACACCCATAAAGCCTCTCTATCTTATGATGATAAGAATTAATTAAGCATATTTTACATATTTTAATAAATATATACAATGTTAGTAGTAGTGTTTTCATGTGGAAAGATCATAGAACTGCACAACATTTACATACATATAATTAGATTTAGGTTTTATGTAAGTAACCAATAGAATTGTTCTTCCAATTGTTGTTGTTTTCTTGAGTTTAAATTTTTAAATGACCTCTTAATGGGCTTTAATCAGTGTGCAAATTGTTTATTCTAAGATTACAAGCCTGGAATTGACCCAACTTAGAGACCCTTCTAAGTTTATCAACCAACCATTCTATCCTTCTAGAATGGAATTTTCTAAAACCTATAACATATTCGAAGACATGAATGTAAATTTTTTTAGGGTATTCAACTAGAAAGGGAATTTTGCGTATAAAATATATTTTTTTCTCTTTTAAATCAAAAGACCATAGCTAGAACTAATAATAAAAAAGTAATCCACCAATATTTTTCTCAATGCTTGAAGAAGTCATATAATCCAATTGGAGGAAGTTTTGGGTTGTACTATGCTTTCTTTTATTACATGTTAATAATGCATACCATATTACCTTTAAAATACAGCATTTAAATTTTCTAATTCATTTTGATTAATGTATCCTGCATTCCACCAATTCATAAAACATCTACACTGCATCAATTCAAAAGCCTCTCGATGTGCTGTGAACATTAGGAGATAAATGACACAAGGATTTCCAACCAAGGACAAATCATTGGCCACATACTGTTTGGGTAGAACACATCTCTTTCCAATGCCCATCCCTTTGTGTGGGGGTCACATCCATGAAACAAAAATGTTGCATGTGTTTCATTATGCACATTGGTTAGATAGGGTGGACCACTCACCATGCATTTACTCTAAGGGAATAATATGAGAAATTGAATCTTGTGGAGTATAACAAAGTTAGATTTGCTTGTACATCTCAATGACATGCTTTGATTATTCTTATCTTTGATGGTTGAAGTCAATTCAATAAGGATGAGTGCATGTGATAGGTGCCAAATAGGGCACACCCTCTTTTCTGCAAAAATTTTTGTTCAGAGTTGAATTATATTAGTCAAACTATTATAATTCATAATAGTTTCAAACTATCCCTAAGTAATATTTTAATTATTGATTAAGAGTTAGAATTAGTTAAACTTATTGAATCTTGGATTTTGATGATATGATTAATTTATAATGTTATGACCTAATCTATGTTTTGAATAATATAGGATTAGCTTCGGAGAGACAAATTGACCCATCGAAGATACTAATTCATCCTCTCCCTCCTAATGTCGACTTGATTCTAACAAAATTATTATAATTCATAGATGATTTAACCATAAGAGTATATTTTTATAATGCTCGAATCTCATCTTCATCACTTATTTTTTAATTTAAAAAATATATTATTATTTTTAAACAACATATGATATTATCATCATAAATAAATATCATAATGTTATAAACTTTTGGTAATGATATTTGTATGCAATTCACATGAATAAAATTAAAACGATTAAAAAAAATATTTATAAAAATAAAACTTCTTACATGACTTTTTTTTTGTTTTTTTTCATCTTCAAAATCTTCCATGCTTATTTTCCAAGCATGCATGCATGTGAAATTGTATACTTGGAAATTGATTTCATGGTTTCTTGGTCAATCGTCCAACCACTGGAGTACACGATTTGCGTCATCGTTCCCATCTAAATCCATCACATGATTCAAATGCATTTGTTGCGTGTTGCTGTATTCCTCCATCTCACCTTCACATATCATTGTCTTCCACGTCAGCATGCCAGGCAATGACTCATCGTCAACCTCTCCAAACTTCTTCTGTTACACGTCACCAGCCACGTCGTCGGTGCCAACCAAAACCCACATATATAATTTTTTATCTTTATATTAGTATTTTTTTTATATTTATTCTCATAAAAAAATTTAGGATGAAAACGACAATGAGGATAACTACAAAGATGAGCAATCAAAGAGACGAAGACGATGATCTGAAAGTCAAAAGTAATTTTAATTTTTTAAAAATAAAATATCAGCATTAATTATCAAAAAAGAGCAATAATTAAAAATAATAATTTTCATATTTATCCCTTTAAATTTAAGGTTAGCAGTTATATTTATTGTAAAATTTGATTATTTAGTATCATTTACTGCCCCTTGAAACTTTAAGCACTTATTATGATTATAATAGTATTCTTTTTTTTTTAAGGTATTTAATTATGATGGGTTCTTCTCGATATGATTTTATATATATATATATATATATATATATATATATATATATATATATATATATATATATATATATATATATATATATATATATAGATTAATGCGTTGGTATATCCATCAATCATCCTATTATTCGCCGTTGTTGATGACTATTATGATGTGGAAACAACATGCGGATTTGTGGTTGTGATGAAGCGGATCTGTTAGTGGATCGACGTTGGATATACTCGTGGTTGACCGACACAGACAAGTCCATCGACATCCTCCACACGCACCAAACCGACCACGTGGAAAGAGTCGCGGACCCAAAGATCACGCACCCGACACAGCCCGCACCGTCACCTCTCTCTCTCTCTCTTTCCACCAACGTGAGCATATTATGGTGGCAAGCAACCTGTAGGGGACATTGACAGATGGAGTTGTTCTGGAATCCATGCCGTTCCCCTTAAAATATGATCAAATTAGTCGTGTTTGGAAACACACTCCAAGATTTATGTATTTTTGTGCTCGACGGGAGAAGGGAGAAGAGAGAAGAGGGATACTGTTCTTGGTTTGGTGATAAGAACAATACAGCTGTACAGGGAGAGGAGGGAGAAAAAGGAGGGCTTGATGATTTCTTCAGACTTCGCAGCGGCATCGTCTTCCACTTCCTCCTTCTATGGCTTCTGCACTTATGCGGCAGGAATTGCTGGTGAGGTTTTGGTAGCTCGTAGTGATGCTTCTTGAATCAATGAACCTGCTTCTGAATCTTAGCAGATGAGATTGAAGAGGACAAGCGTAGAATTGTTTGTTCTGATAAAGAAAATATGCAGAATTAATTGGGAAAAGAGGAACTATGGGTTCAGATTTCTGAAAGGGTTTCGTCTTTTAGCAGGCTAAAGATTACTCCGAAGAGTATATACTTGGAATGTTTCTTGGCACCTCTTTTTCCTCACCCTGTACCCTGCACCCTGCCCCCAATAACTCTTAGCAGCTTTCCTTTTTTGGATTGTATACGAGATTAACAATTATCTGCTAACAAGCTAGAGTTGTTGAATTCATAAAAGAATACACATAGTTAGTCGGTGCCAGCAACTTTCAGAGAGGATTTTGATCTTTTCGCAGGCTAAAGAGCATGCGATTCTTGTGTGCTTAGAAGGTTTCTAAAAGTCCTGTTTTTTTCTTTACACTGCCTCATAAATAAACGGAAATGGTACATGTAGAGGTATTTAAGACATTTTTGCCTATCTTGTATTGAAGAACAAATTTACCTCTGTATATAGTTATTTACTGGTATTTTTGTTCTGTTTGCAGGCAATGTTTTTGCCTTCGTATTGTTTGTCTCACCAATGTGAGTATACTTCAACAATTTTCCTGTTTTCATCTCCGAGAACAGTTGTATATGTGAGCTCACATGCATGAGAATATTCTTGATTTCTTCAGGCCAACATTCAAAAGAATTGTGCGAAACAAGTCCACCGAGCAGTTCTCAGGCTTGCCCTATATATACTCTCTCTTGAACTGCTTGATCTGTATGTGGTATGGGCTTCCTTGGGTGTCTTATGGGGTGATCTTGGTGGCTACCGTCAATTCTATCGGTGCTGCTTTTCAATTAGCCTATGTCAGTCTCTTCATCAGATTTGCAGATTCTGCAAAAAGGGTATGCATAGTTTCCTAGGGTTCTCTCGACCAGTTGTTCGTACTCATTTCACTGATGTGCTTTGTTCTGGTTTTTCATGCAGTTGAGGATGTCCGGACTGCTGATAGGAGTTTTCTCTGTTTTTGCTCTGATCATATATGCGAGCCTTGAGTTGTGCGACCACCCGACACGACAAATATTTGTTGGGTATTTAAGTGTTGCTTCACTCATTTCCATGTTTGCATCTCCATTATTTATCATCGTAGGTTTCTTTCTCGTCATTCACAGAAGATCTCATTTGCTATATTTTTAATTGTTCTCCTCTCTATGATTTAAATTGTTGCCTCTGTTTTTACTTGCCAGAATTTGGTGATCAGGACTAGGAGTGTGGAGTTCATGCCCTTCTATCTATCCCTTGCAACCTTCTTGATGAGCATCTCTTTCTTTGCGTATGGGATGCTATTGCACGACTTCTTCATATATGTAAGAACACTGAAAATTTTGGATGTACTGATTCGATTCTGGTACTCTAGAAGTCTTAATTTCAGGTTCACAGAATGATATCATTTTCAGCAATTGATTATTATTCGTGTTGAATGTGCTTCTCAGATCCCAAATGGGATTGGAACAGTTCTGGGGGTAGTACAACTGTTGCTGTATGCCTATTACAGTAAATCTGTAGAAGAGTCTCACTTGCCATTGGTGGCTTCACACTGATGTTCTGCCTTGACAAGGTTAAATATGTTCGTTATTTCCACACAGTTCTTTCATAATTTTGTTATGTGTGAATTGTGTAAAAACAGAAAGATATATTATATCATAATTTTGTCATTTTCTCATATTTTAAAGCCTCGTAGACTTTTAGTATGTGCTTGTAAGTTAGCACAACACATATCATGCATACCTAGATGGCTACAACATAACATTGATCTGGATACATAGGTCCAAGTTATGACATATCATGTTGAATCACTCGAGTCAGATTATTAAAATAAATTTCAATATACATGCAAACTTATGTTGTTTCCTTTTTGTCACACCTCATTAATGGTTTCATATACTCATTGATTTGTTTAATTATATGTATCTAGATCTGTAGATCTTTGGTAATTTTTCTATTCTAGGATTGTTAAGGTGTCATAGTGGATATTGGTGTCTTTACCATTACTCTTCAAAGGAAATCTTAGGCCTGTTGGGTTTGACATCTTTCCCCATGATTATCTCTAGTTCTCGACATCGATACCAACTAGGGTGCCTTTTTTGGGCTTCTTTATATAGTTCCAAAGACTGCTTTTTTTTTATAATAATTAGAAAAGGAAAGGATTTCAAGCTAGGATTGAGGAGATTTCATTACACTGAGTTTTAAGACGCAATCAAGCAATCTTATTATTATTCATTTCCTTGTTTCTCTATTCTTTTTTTGTCTTTGATTGATTTAAAAAATATAGTTGGCTGTCTTGAGCATATAGTTAAATTAAGGCAAGCTTCTAAGCTGGTTTCAATATGCAGAGCACCATGATTACATTGAGAAGAGGCACTTAAGTATATCTCACTTCCTCATCCGCAGTATTCACTAGTTGCACAACTCGTACTTTTAACAAGTACAGCAGCACCTATTCTACCAACAACCCTGAGGCAAAAAAGTTCAATTTTCTCGCACTAAATCCACCTTGTCGACCTCAAATTGTGAACCTATTGCACAGTCTACATACCACATAATAGCTTTTGGATGAACAATGTGTTCGGTGACAAAAGAAAGGTTAAGATTCTATAGAGGTGCCTACCAGAATAACATTTACAATCATGGTAACAAAAAACTGAGCCCCCTTGCTTTGGCATCTAAGCACCCATCTTAATCTGACCCATGACCTGCTCATCTTGATCTAGATCTACAATCGAGTATACATATCTTAAAATCAACATTGCTAATTTGTCAATGTAGTCTTGTGAAGAAGTTGCATGTAAAGATGTGGGCAAGCCAAGTATCAGTAGGCCAAGAAGTTTACATAATTGGATATCTGCAAGCACTATATAGAAATCAAAATAATTGAAATTGTATTTGATCCCTCCAATGTCTAGATAAAGAACCGCAAAAATTATGTTGTGCTGAGATTGATGTGTAACAAAATAAAGACAATAACTGAATAAAGAAGAATCCAACATATAAAATTTGATATAGCATAGAAGAAAACTGCATGTTATTGAAAAGAATAATTTTTTTCAGCCATCTCAATATTTATGAAGTCCTGAAAGATTGTGGAATTAGAGTTATTTAATTATTATACTAAAATATTTAAAAATCTCCTGATATTTGAGTCAATTAAAGGCATTTAATTTATTTTACTATTGTTGGAATTAGTGTCTGGAAGCAAAACTGCAGAGGCAAGGAAATAACCTGATCACATTGATCCATTGCATTTGACCTGCCTTATTTAGCACTTTGGATAAAGCCATAATGTGGTATAAATTGCACACTTACGATGATAACCATACATACATCTTTTATGTAAATTTAACATATCTCGAAGCTGAACAAAAATAAGAACCAAATCAAAATAAACAATGTAACACTAGTAGCATAAATTTTAATGCTTTCTCAAATTGAACAATAAGCTATTGATTTGCAGCTACTTCTGGATAAAAAAGATAAATCAAGCCTTTTGTCGAGGGACAAGTTCTGCCGTCATGTGCAAAGTCTGAATGTGATTGTTGTTTATTTTGTGTTGTATTCCATAAGGGTTTTGATGTCAGGAAGTTTTGTGTGTGTATGGTGGGGATTTTTTTTAAAAAAAGAAGGAATGTACTTGATGTAATATTATTCTTTTAACTATACCAGCTTGGCTGGTCTTCTAATAAGGTGGAAGTGTCTCTTCATGGAGACCTCCTTGTGGTCAGTGCATTATCTACATAGATAAGTGGTCAAGGGTTTGAATCCCATTGTAAGATTCTAGTGCACAGCGGTTATGTAATGCTGGTATTTAGTAAAATAAAAAGAGGCAGATGTTCCTCCCAATTTTGTTCTTTGTTAATTAATTATCATTTATAAATTTGGTATCTGTTCAGATTTTCTCTATGCTTCGGTTTAGGTTGCTTTCAGTTGTCTGAGAATTTAATAGCTCGGATTGATTTTGGAGTTGTTTTTGGACCTGTGCACGGTAGTTGGATTTCTCTTCAATCTTGCAAATTAAGGTTTGTAAGGCACATTATTTTGATAACCTTCCAGGTGGGATCTGCATGTATTCTTCCACCTCTCTTTCACTTAATTTTGTCTTCTTTACCTGTTACTAGACATCAACGTCTGCTTTGTGCAAAACTTATATCCCATGCCAATGAACAATAAGATATCATATTTATAAGTGCCAGTTTATAATCGGATGATGCCATTATAATAATTAGAGTAAGTTCATTAATAACTGGCATATGGTGCATTGCAGAGATAAGTATTTATTACATCTAAAGACATGGAATCTGGATCCATAATTGCAGACCCAGTTCATCATGCATATCTGTTCTGCAATATTATCCAATTCTTGTTCTTCATTTTTCACTATTGGTTGCATCATATATTTTGAAAGTTTATTGTCCAGAATTTGGACAAGATAAAGCCCTAATTTCTAGACAAGATAATTATCTTTTGCTCTAGTGTGAATAGTACCATTGAATGAGAAATGCTTGCAATCTTTAGAGTTGGCCATATCATGTAGAAAGCAGTGTGCATAACATAAAGTAAATCCTATGTAGTGTATATAATTTGGCTAATGCCCTATTGAACATCAGGCAACATGTACACACAAAAATGTCAAGCAGGTTCTTGACTGAGTCCGTTTACTTAGGGAGCAACAATTAGGTTGATTTGGTTATTCGTTAACTTATAATGTTTATTCATGTAAAATGTTATATTAATATATTAAATAAGTCTGACAAGTAGACATATTTGGGTGACAGATCCCTTTTTAGTCACTTTTGTGTCATCAATAGATTATGAATCATGTTTCGTCTGGGGTGTGGATGAGACGAGATAGGAATTACCTTTAGAAGATGCTTTATTGTTGACTCACTAGATCATCTTTGCACTGAACTTTTCTACACATTTGGTTGGAGGCAGCACTTCTAAAGGCATTGCTTGGAAGGCACTATCAGAACTAGGTTGCAGGGGATTAGATAGCAAATCAACTTGGTGGACCATCTCATAGGTCAACTTAAACTATTGGAGAAGTTGGTAAGAATTAGGTCAAGGGGAGCATGCGCCATATTCAATGTTTGAAGGCAATTATGATTACAGGAGCAGCAAATTACATTTTTGATAGCTAATCAGCTCAGTGAAAAATGAGTCATCATCCTAGCTTGATTCAAAGTGGTCTTTCTGTCCTGAACATTTGTTGGAAATATATGCTTCTTAGATCTAATGATTTCGGAAACATGCCTTGAATAGCTTCTGTTTTATTATGCAAAAGTTGGTGATTCTATAGCTGCTGATGAAGCACTATGCAACTTGCTCTTTTCTAAAATTCCTTTCTACCATGAGTTGTTGGTTGTTCTTTTCTTGATGTGAGTAGAGATATTATGTTAACCAGGCTAAATGGATTTGAAGACTTTGGATCTTTGTGTATCTTCAATGGATTTCCTTTTTGTCTTGCACTTATGATTATAGCTAAAACTTTTCATAGAAAAAGAAGAAAGGATTGGACTATGCATTTAAGAGACTAATATATGTTCAAGTATTCTTTTTAGTGATTAATGAACTTGGCACATATCAGGTATTACTTAGTTGCCAGAAAGGATTAGACGATATACACCACACTTGAGAGTCTAATGTTTGTTCAAGTAATTTTCTTGCAAAAGACAAGTGTGATCAATGAATTTGGCACATATTAGATACAGTATCAGTATTGGATTACTTGGTAAGTGATAAAGATTTAGAAGAACAAAATAACCAGAATTCTTGTCAACTTACAAACTGCTCCATAGAAGTTTATTTGCCAGGCTCGAGTAGCAATTTGTTTTTGTCACAAAAATAGATTAGGCCAAAGCCTACTATAACAGAAGAAATTTAGCTGAATCAAAGGATTTGTATTCTGTACTTTAAACATGTGTTGTTATTTCTAGTTGGATTTATAGGGCTAATCTTTTTCTCTCCAAGTATATACACTTGTGTGTAGCTGAAGTTGAATCTCATGAATGTTACCTATCAGAAACAAAAAAACATCTTACATTACTTTTCTTCAGTTGTGGTGACAATGGATGTAGGTTTGTGTTCATGAGAGATGTTGGTGCTGGTGTTTTAAAGGTTGATGTGTGATCCTCAGCCAATACTAACCAGTCACAGTCCATGGCTGCTGCCATTGAATACTGACCTCAGGTTGTGCTGTCCACTTCACTTCATCCCTCCATGCCTCAATGGACAGAGCACTGACCCCCCTTGGCTTCACTGCTGTTATTTTATATGGTTTTGTGCATCACATATCCTTCACTTTTAGGTCATTTCTATTTTTCAAGGACAATCACCATCAACATATCCTAAATGACCTGTCCTAACCTAAGGTTACTTTCTGCTTTTTCTTTTTACCATAAAAGTAACATAAATAAATAAACAATTTTTTTTGTTGGACATAGTGGATAGCTGAAAACACTATTGTTATGCTCATGTAGGTCTCTTTTTTTCTTTCTTTTTCTAAGGAAAAAATGCAAAGTACTTAATGTTTAGTTGAACTAATATTGTTTGTGCATGAACAACTATTGCTTTGGTTCAATATCTCCTGCTATATGAAAAGTAGAACCAAGTTATGAAACAATATTATATACTTTCAAATGATGCATTAGAAATGTTATGTATTGCAGCATGATGTTAGACAGCAAACATCCTGTTAATAAAATCATAGAAAGATGAGATTTTGGTAGGTATCAATTAGGACAGATTGCTATCTTTTCCTTTAAAGGTCATTGATCCATTTGATCTTCCAAGTTACAGTCTTATAGCTAAATATTTAAGTACCATCTGAATATAATATATATATATAATTTGGATGTATATTATCATCTGCTCTTGTTTTCCTAATCTTTCATTCAACTTTAAGAAATCCAACTGCAGAAGCTACACTTTTGGTGCCCAACCCTCAATATATATGCAAAATTTCACATTATATGTGAGCCCCACACTCTTTCTCCAATCATCAAGCAGATTGTGGAGTCGGGTAATGTGGCAATGGGTAGCCAAACCAATGCTGATGATAACATCATCACATCCAAAACTAGAATGCTACGTTGACCAATGATTTGACCGACCCAATATCCATATAATCTAACCAAAGTCCTCATTATATTGTTTCCATAAGCCTTTTCTTTCCTTTCTAGTCCAACTTGGAAATGTAGTGCTTCATACCAACTCTCAAAAGCCCAACAAGGCAGAGACATGGATCACTTCAATCTGTATATATAGCTCCATTACCTACCTACCTTCTTCTAGTGAAGCGCAAGCTCGAGCCACAAAGATCTTGAAACATCATCATCATCATCTTCTTCTTCTTATGTTGTCTTCGTTGATGGAGGGAAGAGAGCACCAACTTCCTATTGCCACTACTACTACTACTACTGCTACGAGCGCTAAAGCTCAGACCAAACTGCTCGACTCAGTAGTAGCCATGAAAGCTATGTCCAAGCTTGGGGGCTTCCATGCCGGCTACTTCCGCATCAGCCTGTCGCTCTGCGGCCAGGCACTACTGTGGAAGACCCTCAGCGAGCCAAGCACCGACTCCCGCGCCCTCCGCCTCGTCGTCCGCTTGCTACCCTCCGCCACGTACGTCCTCGTCTGGTCCGTGGCCCTCGCCGTCCTCGTCGCACTCTGCTTCCTCTACGCCCTCCGCTGCTTCCTCCGGTTCCGCTGCGTCAAGGCCGAGTTCTCCCACCATGTCGGCGTGAACTACCTCTTTGCGCCGTGGATCTCGTGGCTCCTCCTCCTCCAGTCCACCCCCGCCTTCCTCCACCCCGGCGCTGCTCTGTACCGCGTGCTTTGGTGGGTCTTCTCCGTTCCCATCATCATGTTCGATGTCAAGATCTACGGCCAGTGGTTCACCGAGGGGAAGAAGTTCCTGTCGATGGTGGCGAACCCGACGAGCCAGATCACGGTGATCGGGAACCTGGTCTGCGCGAGGGCGGCGGCAAGGATGGGGTGGGAGGAGATCGCCACCTGTATGTTCTCCCTCGGCATGGCGCACTACCTCGTCCTATTCGTGACGCTGTACCAGCGGTTCGTCGGGTGCAACAGCCTTCCCGCCATGCTCCGCCCCGTCTTCTTCCTCTTCATCGCCGCCCCCAGCATGGCCAGCTTGGCCTGGGATTCCATCTCCGGATCCTTCGGTACGGGGTCCAAGATGCTCTTCTTCCTCTCCCTCTTCCTATTTGCCTCCCTGGTAATTACCTTCTACTTCGCCAATTTCTTCCCACCACGCATCGCCATCATGTAGTCTGGATTGAGAAAGAATCTAGGGAGCTAAACACTGTCGCTATCTCTCAATCTATCTTCCACCTATTCATCAAACATAGGATCTAAAGATCTTATTTGACGCATCGGACATCATCATCATCATCTTTAGCATTCGCGACTACTTTAGCCCGCGGCTAAATTTGACGTACGTAGAGTTGCGTCGCACACACGTTACAGTTCATAGAGTCCATGTAAGAAGGTCAAGAACGCAAGTTCTGCGATCCCTTTCCATGCTCATACGTCTTCACATCGGGTCGAATGCCTTGATGCAATCGATCGCCTGCCTGTGCAGGTCTCGCGGCCTGCTCTGTTCAAGAGGTCGATGAGGCGGTTCAACGTTGCATGGTGGGCGTACTCCTTCCCGCTGACGGTGCTGGCGCTGGCGGCCACCGAGTACGCACAGGAGGTGGAGGGAGGCGTCTCCAACGCCCTCATGCTCGTCCTCGCCGTCCTCTCCGTGCTGGTCACCGTCGCCCTCATCGTCTTCACCGCGATCAAGGCCGGCGACCTCCTTCCCCACGGCAATGACCCCTTCGCGCCGCCGTTCTCGCCCTGATGCTCATGCAACATGTTGGTTTTGTTTAGCATTTGCTATGTCGATCTAAAGCCAGAGAGGAATAGTTCTCTGTATTCCTTGGACATGTTCTTGTCTCCACTGTGGAATCCATCTCCTTCCACGAACATGATGTGCAGAGTCACTGAAAACGTGCTAATTGGACTCTCTAATGGCTTCGTACAGAATGCAGTACTCCATGTGAAGGTGACTTTTCTAAGTGAAGCAAGAACCGCACTTGAATGCAGAACAAAGTCAAAAAGTTCTATAAGGATAAGATCTCCACCATAAACTAGCCTGATTTTGTCAACATCCACGTGAGACTGTTGTCATCCAGATTTCAAGGGATTCATGCATCATATGCAGGTCAATGAGAGGAGCAATATATCTAGAGTACCTAAATGCCAGCTGAAAGCCACAGAAGGACACAAAAAAGAAGAAGATGGACAATACCATAGATTAACAAGGATGCCCTGATTATAAATTTCTACTAGAAGTGATGAAATGCCAAATGGCAGGGAGGATTTATCCCAGCTTTGTAGCAGCTTCACTTTGGGAGTGAATGGTTACTGTTATACATCACAAGCCTTGTGGTATTTTGCAAGAACAGATGATGCCAAATAATATTACTCAAAGGAAATTTATTGTGGCTAAGAAAACCTCCACCACCAAACAAGAACAGATGATCTCCATGTGATGAGTTTTGCAAAACAGGCAGCTCAACCTCATCCTTCAGCTTGCAAATTTTATCCCCAGTTCATGAGGCAAGATAAAACCAGTAGTATGAGAGATCCCTTTTCACAACAAAAGAGAAAAAGAAAGCTCTACCAACTTAGTCTCGTTTAGGTAACTATTTAGGTATCTTGTATGAGTTCAAGTGATGCATGAACATATATATGCTGCATGCAGAGTATATTTCCAAGTATACAGATGTTTATCTTTCAGTTTGAGAATGGTTTTTGTAAATGTAGCTTGTAAGTTGGTGAATTGCATAAACTGCATGTGTGATAGAATTAATTGTGTTGATGGATCTAACTCTCAAGCTTCATTTATTAATTAGATGATTAAAGGATATAATTGTGTGTCAGGAGAGTCTGAAGTCTGGTCCATCATCTATGACCTTTGTCATCCTTAATGAAGAATGGGTCCTGCGGAATCCACTCTGTTAAATGACCTTCAAAATCTGAATATCTTGCAAAAGAAATAGTACAGAAAAAATGATTGAACAAATTCAGCAAAAATAATAAAGATGTGAAAATTGACAAACTTTTTCTTCATTTAAAATTAGCTTCTGAATTAAACTGTTTAGACATTAATCAGGGACCAAACCATGAACTTTGATACTCTTCTTTCAAGGATCTTTTCCAAGTAAGTCCAACTCGAAAACTTAATTTAATCGATCGGAATCTAGCTCCTAAAAGATGTAGCCTAATATTTTTAGTCGAGTATAATGTCGGATCCATTGAGTATAAAATCTAGATAGAAAAGGGCTTATTTAGTTTCTTTCTCAAGCTCATTTACAGGAATGAGAGTTATAAGAGATTAAGTATTGAGACAGCAAGTCAAGATCAAAAGTCACTTGTTTAAGAGAATAAGTCTGACTTTTTAATTTTGGTAATGTATTACTGTAAGGTAGCAGAATTCAGATTTTAAAGAACAAAAACTAATGAAATAAAAATGATGAAGCAAATTACCCAAAAATAGTTGATGAATCACATATATCCTCTTATTTAAAAGATTGACTTGCTACATTAGTTGACTGGTTCTCTACATTTCTTTATTTTCTTCACATTCAACTGGCACAAATAGTAAATTTGAATGTATCAGTCAGTACAGTATTATCAACATTTTCACAGTATTTATTTGTGCTCCAAAAAGTAAAATCTAGTGTAGCTTCTCTACATTTCTTTATGAGCACAACAAACAGAATCAACAGAAGTGCCACAACTACATATCTGTATAAGTTCTTTAAGAAGAACAACTGGGAACCATTTTTGACTTGTTTCATGGACAAAGAATATCACATTATATACCTTTGAAAACTTTTGTTTTTATTGGATATATAATTTTTCCAAGCTCCCCAAATCATCCTATGACCAAGACAATTCATCATAGTCATCTTCCATCCAACCTGAATGAGTCATACTGTGTAGCCATTCTACTGGAGGAAGCACAACAAAGTACAACAAGAAAATTATTATTATTATTATTATTACATATACATATATATATATATATATATATATATATATATATATATATATATATATATATATATATGTTATAATAGGCTCATACCATCCAATATGTCTTATACTGGGCTTGAACAGTCCGATTTATTCTGATCAGCTTACTGTTAGGTTGTCGAACCGGTAAATATCACCTATATCATATTATACCGATGGTTCTAAAAATTATCATATGCATGGTAAGTTGAAGATCAAAGGAACAGAAAAAGATTGCAGATTGCAGACATTGCATTTCTTGGTAGCTTAGAGCGACAAAAGAGGAGAGGAGAAACAAAAGCTTCCTAGCACTGAAAAGAATTCAGGAGGCATATTCTTCTCTGCAAGGCTTTTTCCCAGTTGACTTGGCCACTGGCTACAATGCTCACAAGAAGTCAAGACTCGCTGCTATGGGAGATGTATCAGTGAATTCTACAACAGTATTTGATGTCAATTTGCATTTAGTTTTTGACTTTGACTTTTTTGCTTGCGCACTGCTGATAAATTGTTGGTACCATTCACACAGTACATGCTTCTTATTAGATTAGTAATCCCATGGATACATATAGAGAGAGAAGAACAACAGTATTAATTCTGATGATATGGAAGTGTGTGGCTTGGCCTAAAAATGAGTTTGACCTAAAACATAAATAAATTGAGAACTAGAATTAAGCCTAAAAATTAAATCTCATGTATATATATTATTAAATTTTTTAGTACTTATTTTCTTCCTGGAACCCATCCGAAACCAGATTAAGAGATACTTAAATCCAGTTTAAGCAGGTCAGATAAATGCCGATACTAAAAAATCCAACCCATACCATCAAACCTCATGCAAAGTATGTAGAAGAAGGACTTGAAAAAAAAATATATATATATAACTGAGAAATTCCAAATTTATCTATGGCACAATTGAAAAAAGATCAAGAATTCTATTTTTTTAAAATATTATTAGCCCCTCGAAACCCAGCCGAAACATGATTAAGATACTAAATTCCAATTTAAGTGGCTTAGATAATGCAAGTAACAAAAATACCCTGATGTGCTATCATTAAATAAAGGAATGTTACTAAGCAGTGCCTGCAAACTTCATCATGAACCAATTATGTATGTACTCAAAATTGACTCTGAACTTAACTCAGTTACCAACTTTCTTATTCAAATCTATCCCAAATCTGATTAAAAGATATTGGACCCAAAATCTACCTATTTCATACATGCTTCTATCTCAAAAAATTGCCTGCCTTGAATTAGTCTTAGAATCAAATCACTAAAACTAATAATAATAATATCTACCGAGGCATTAATTTAGCTTTTTCATCTTCTTTTTCCTTTATGAAGAGAAGAACAAGTCAGCTCTACGTAGTAGTAGAATATGGGATACAGCAGTGGAGAAGGGTGGCCATCAGTTGTGGAGGGTGTGTATCGATGGGTACCAGACGCAGGCCACCACTACAAGATTCTCAATGCTGTCAGCCTCAACAACAAAAACAATGGCTTCCACTCTCTGATTTGTCTCCCGGAGTTAACTAAACCCACAATTAGATTCTTCAATCAATGATCTTAAAGCTAATTATATATATATATATATATATATATATATATATATATATATATATATCATGTCTTGTCTGAACATTTTAATCTTCATATGTTGAACTTGGATCAACTGCATAATCCAGCACTCAAAGATGAGAATTAAGAATATAAATTGAAAGAAATTATTTTATCTACAAATTTAAGATTTTAGATGAACATGCATGAACTCTCTATTTATGATGAATGATATATAATCATTGTGGTGGATATAAAGTTGCTGTAGAACATATGAAGTAACTATTTACAAATTTTAAGAGAACAGAGGTGTAATCCATAATTTTTACCTTACTTTCAAAGAAAAAGATAAGTATGATTAAGATGAGAATATTGAGGTGACTGTATGAAGTTATAAAGAAAGATTAATTAAATACATCTGTGGATGATTAGGTTTAAACCTAATAAGGGATAACAAGAGAAGAAAACTTGTAAAATAGTCGATTAGTGTTAATGGTGTGTAGAAAAATAGAAAGAGATGAAAGAAGATTTTACTATAAAATATTTTTGATTAACTAGAATTTTATATATTACTTAATATTGAAAAAAGATTTATACAGTTGATCTTGTTGTTGGTTTGGTGGTTGCTGAAAGCATCTCCAAAACATTCACTTACACAAAAGAGATTGTCCAGTCAAGGAAATTAAAAAGTAGAAGCCTACTGGTCAGCTGACCTCAAAGCAGTAACACTATTGATGCATTGTCATGATGTTATTTTCCTCCTGTGGAAGTTGAGCAAGTGAAACTCCAGCCAACCAATGGTCAGCCTTGACTTCTGCCTTTTACATTCTTTGGTTTGACTAATTAGATTCTCATTGCAGATGAACAGTGAAGCACTAAATCTGCAGCATCATTGCTGCCATGAGGAGCACAGCAAACAAATCAAGAAAACTCACAGTAAGCACAAAACAGAAGTATATTTTATTGCCATCTGCTCCCAAAATGAAATGATTCTGAACCCATTCAACTCTATATAAATGGCAGATATCCCTTCTGCTCTTCCTCCAAAGCTTGGTGCATCATTTCTTCCACTCCTTTTGATTCTTGTGGAGCACTCAAGGGATGGGATGCTTATAAATCTCTGCCATTACCTCAAATCTAGTCAAAGGTATATGTGTCCTGTATCATAAGTTCGGCTTCCATTGGTATCATTTCAGCTCTTAGATTTTGTTTCTGCAAAGGAGATCTATGGTAGAGACAAGATCTTCCTGTTTGTTGTATTCTCTCTTGTGAGTTTCTGAAATAGAAATGTTTTTGCGTTTTTTTTTTATATGCTTGAAGAAAAATTAAGATTGCTATGGCAGAAGATAATCTACATGGTGTGATGCTGATTTTACTGTAAATGATGTATAGACAGAGACATGAAACAAAAAATGTTGGGTGCTCCTTGATATGTATGAAGAGCATCAGCTGCTTCTAAGTGGGAAAATTAGTAGGAAAGAAAATGGTGGAATCAGGATCAAATCAAATCTGAAAAATGCATGTCATGATATTTCGAGGATCATTTTTACTGTACAGAAAAAGTTCTATCTCAAGGATGTTCAACTCTTCCAAATACCAGGGTGTATCATCTACTGATCATGGTTTGAATCTAATTGCTATTATGATCCTTGCAATGATTTCCAGAACAATTAAGAAGGGTAACTAGTGATTAACTTTTTGACCGTTAACACCTACTATAACCTGTTCAAGCTTGTTCTACCTTTGTCACTGTTCATAATTCCTTCAAGATTTGAATTGCTATAATAACTGAGTTGATTAATGGTCCATGTTTTGCTACTTGGATATTATTTTGGTCAATGGTTCTTGTTGCTTACTATCATGCTCCATTGTAATCCATCATAGGATCCATTACAGGGATGAATGTTTTAAGCTTGGAAGTGCTCAAATAAAGGAAACAGGGCCCTGATAACAATAATTTGGCTTCAAAAGTGCACAATTGGTAAAGTTACATGGAAAGATCAAACCATGGTAAATGATGTCTTTGCTGCACAAATTGAGCTTTTGAATTCCATGTTAATGCATATTTCTGCAAACATCTAATCAAGTATACTGTGATTGCAGGGGTGCAGGTGATTATGAGAAATCTTTTTCATTATGAAATATTGTGAGTACAATTGATGTGACATCCCTACAACTGATGATATGAGTCATGATTCACATGATCAGATGCCAACTCCACTTGGGAGGTCTAATGTGATTCACATGGTTTCTTTTCTAACAGGTGGACTCTCAGAATGCCCATCCCCTTGCATTTCAATCATACCCTCGATCTCATCTCATATTTCAACTGTTCCTTCATATAAGCCCCACATATTACAATGAAAAATAGTAGATGTGATAGATAGGATTGACAAGAATAACAGTTAAGAAAGTCTTAGGTAACTTGCAGATGAAAGATGGGAGATGTGAGCTGTAATTGTTAGGACTGACATAGATAGTATGGTCAAGCATGTCAATTTGACATGATAGAAATGGCTCTCAGACCCTTCACAAGTTGCTTTTTCTTTGACAGATTAATTTTAAGAATGTTTCAGAATGTGATCCAACATCTAATCCTTCGGTAGTCAGATATAGGAGAAGTAGACGACAAAAGATGGAGGGAAATCTAAAGCTGAATTGACATCTAAAGAAGCAATGGTATCCTGTGAGCCTCCTCCAAGGACCACCAAACTTGTCACCATGGATGTGGAGAGTGTTCTTCACATGAAAGAAGGGCTGGATGAGGCCAGTTATGCTCAAAATTGTTCCCTACAGGTAAAAATCTTACCTCAGAACGCCACCAATGTCCCTAAATTTTCATGATTTCTTAATGCCAGTTGTTAACTCTTCCTTCAGAAGAAGAGTATGGATGCCATGAAGCATATCATAGTGGAGTCAGCGGTAGATGCTTACGCTTCAGAGATGCCAGAAAGCTTCACTTTTGTTGATCTTGGATGCTCATCGGGGAGTAATGCCCTGCCTCTAATCGGAGACATCATCGAAGCCATTCATGTGATGGCACGACGGTCAGCGAAGCCAGCACCAGAATTCATGGTGTTCCTCAATGATCTTCCATCCAATGACTTCAATTCTATGTTTCTGAGCCTTCCATTGTTCACTAAGAAGCTCAAAGAAGGCATCGAGTTGCATGGAGGCATGGCTCCATCTGTATACTTTTCAGCAACTCCTGGTTCATTCTATGGCAGGCTGTTTCCAAGAGACAGCCTCAGTTTCATCTACTCATGCTATAGCTTGCACTGGCTTTCCCAGGTTAGCTCTCAGTGTGCATTCTCACAACTATATCTTTTCTGATATGTTGTAGAAATCCATAGTTAGTGAAGTAATTAAAGTGGATTTTTCTCCTGCATTCCCTCTTAATTGTAGAACAAGAATGATTCTTGCAGGTTCCTCCAGGGCTTGTTGACATCAATGGCAGGCCAATTAACAAGGGGAAGATGTACATATCTAACACAAGCCCCCCTGTTGTTGCATTAGCTTACTTTGAGCAGTTTCAGAAACAATTCAGCCTCTTTCTCAAATCAAGATCTGAAGAGTTACATCTCGGTGGGCGAATGGTTGTCGCGATGTTAGGAAGAACAACTGATGATCACAGTGATAAGAGCACAAGAGTCTTGTGGGAAGTGTTAGACCAGTCTTTTGCCATTATGATCTCACAAGTGAGTGCAATTCTTAGCCTTTTTTTCCTCTATGTTCATTCAATCCTTACCTATTTATCCTCTATTCACTCAATTGGTTTATTTGAAATGCATTGATACCAACACATCATACTCCTCCGAATGAGGTTGTAAAGTTCTTTTTTTTCATTTTAGATTCTTTGAGATGAATTTTATGTCAATTTTAAAATGTTACCACATCATCTAAATACATTTTCATCAAGGATCATGGCAGGAGAATGTAGCAATGGAACTAAAGCAATATCTCTGTTCCTAGAAGACTGCATCTTAGATCATTTCTATGATACCACCTCTCACAAATTATGTTGTTCTCAGGAAATGATTGATGAAGAGAAGGTTGATACATACAATGTGCCATTTTATGCTCCGTCGGCGAGGGAGATTGAAGATGAAGTGCACAGAGAAGGGTCTTTTACGATCGATTACATACAAACTCATGAGCTGAGCACAAGCACTGGAGATCCTCTAAAGGATGCCAGAATCACATCAATGGCCATTAGAGCCATACAAGAATCAATGATCAGCCATCACTTTGGCGAAGCAATTATCGATACCTTATTCCATGTTTATGGAGGACTGCTCAGTCAACTAATGCTTAAAGAAGAAATAAAAAGTTCTCACCTACTAATTGTTCTAAGAAAGACACACTGAGTGAAGAAAAATCAATCATCAGCACATAAAGTTACTATAAAGTCAAACTTTTTTATCTACAGGTCTTCATTGTATTCAGATTGTAGATGTACAATTTACCAGTACATTTTATTTACTCAAAGATGTATTATCTTCTCTAAGACAATGCCAAATTTCTTTTCCAAAATGTTCTTTTTACAAGCTGATTCAGTTTCGACTAAACTTAGTATGGCAAATAGGCAAAAATGATGCATGATTCATCGCAAATAATACGCACATGATTTCTCATCACTAATTGTGGTTATCCCCCAATCCGAGAGCTTAACAAGCTTATGTCGGAATACCGCAAATCTACCGCACGACCTGGCATGGCATCACTTCTGTATTTGTTCCTGCAACAGAATCAGAATGCTGCCTATTTATATACATTTAACTCACTATGTAATAAATCATTAAATGTTCAAATATACTTAGTGAAGATAAGCTATGGATATTTTCTTCCCATCTTAAACCTTGTTCTATTATTCACCAGCAACATGCAATGGAAAAGGCTTTAGGCACAAGGTTTCATTGTTAATTCTCCTGTTATGCTTTGTTTGTCAATGCATAATTAATTGATCTCTATATATAAATGTATTTGATATTCACATGCTCTCTTGCACCTTCAGAACACACCGGTGCATATATGAAGTGTAGCAATTGGCAGAGTTGCATACAGTTGGGATTTAGTCAACTCAAGTACAGAGGAACAATTCATGAAAACAACATCCAACCTCTGTATATATGTAGCAGCTATCAGAAGTACACACAGCAAAAAGAAAGCATGCAGGAATTTATAGTTGATCCATTTAGGAAAATTCAATAGACTACAAAAATTTTTTGAGTTTAGTGCTGTCCAAACTTGATGCTTTATAGTCAACACAATGCTGATTTTAGAATAGACTAGAAATTGATGAGATTTGCATCTCTTCCAAATTTGTTCTGCTCACAATAGAACCCAAACTCATAAAAATTGGTTCAGATCCAAACATATACACATGTTTACACGTATCATGTATGCACTTTGCAAACTGCGGAATGGAAATACTGCATCGTTTTGCATTGTTGAGATGATTCAGAAGCAAAATTTCTTTTTCTGCAAAAAGATGGAAAAGAACAGAGAATTAGGGATCCATGACTCATTCATCAGAAAGAGCTCAATGCAACTACCCAACTACATCAGAATATTGCTAAGGTGTACTCTATTGTCAGTTTTTCTTAAAACAAAAAACTGCAAGTGATTGTACGTAATATGAAAGAAACATGACTCATCTTCAAAACAGTCCCCAGAAAGAGTTCTGGTTTATGAATTAAAGAAGTACTCGACAAAAACGAAAAAGAAAAAGATATGAGTTAATAAGCTTTGTGAGGAACAAAGACCACTAGCTATCTTTGCCTTTAATGTTGTTGACGTCCTCTTTAGCACTAGTGACATTAACAAATGCCAGAAAATTCTGCTTCTACTATTTTCTCTTTTCTTTACTTTAGTTGTATATTTAATAGGCTAAAAATCATGTTTCCTCATTGTCTACCAAAACCGCGACTAATCATATTGCTGCTCTGATGCCATCCAAAGGCAATGACATATTAATGAAAAGCTTATTTCTAAAAATGATTCTTGGTTTCTTCCCGATGCTTTTCTCCTTTTATGAGATGACACCCACTAGTAACATACAAAACTTTTATATCATCTTTACTAATTGGTGCAAGTACAATACAATAACAACAACAATAACAACACAATCATAAGTCCCAATTATTTGGAGTTAACCACATGGATCTTTTACCGTCATTAAGATATATAAAAAAATTATATATTTAGTTAAGTTTAGAATACTTAAATCTTTATTTATAGTTTCTATTAAAGTCTTTTTAAGTCTTCCTTTGTCTCTCCTCGAATTACTAATATTAATCATTTTATCTCTTCTAACTACTACATCCGTAGGTCCCCTAAGCACCTGTTCCTACTATAGTGCATGAACAATCATCAGAATGAAATATAATCTGAGGTAGCCACATGTTCCCCCTCGTCTAATCTCTAGTCCACACATGGTGCTATATGTTAAAAATATTATCTTAACTTTTGTCAAATTTCATTTAATTCAAGATGGTTTTTCTTTGGTTTATCTATAAATAAATAATTTCTTCCAATTATAATTTTTTAAGTTTTTTCTTCATGAATCTCTTGGGGCACAAACCCTCTGAATTAGCTCTAGAAATCTATGCGCTAACAACCTGTCAAGTGTCCAATATATTTTTTAGAGTGTCATGAAGAAGCACACAGTGATAGCAAAACATGAGATCATTATGATTTGCCCCAGTAGAAAAGCACTTCATTATTCTATGATGTCTCAAAATTTTCCTTCATAAAAGTATGTTAGAGAAAATGTATCAATTGAAATTAAGAATTCATTTTATAACATACACAAATATAAATATTTAAAAATATGATCTTGCCCCATGCAATTGAGAATTCATGAAACATAGTGATTCATTCATTGTCTTCCAGTGACAAAAACTTGTATCTATATGAACATCTTTGCTAGTCACTACTGATAAATAACAGTTACCCGGAATTTAGCCTCCTTCTGCTGGTCAAGGTATGCAAGCAACTCCTCCTGTCGAATTAGAGCTTCATGTAAAGCCTGCATTAACAACTTATGATGATGAGTACTAACCATATATTTCCACCCTTTCCCAGAAGAAAATCAAAATTTTATTGATTTCAATAGAAACAATAGATTAACCCCCCAAAAAAATTGATTATAGAATTTAAACAGACATTTATGCAAGTATATGAGATGCATGCATTTTTTTTTTCATGGACACTCCGAACCAAATAGATCTGTCTGATACTTATCGATGTTGTCAGCAAGTTGGAAATTTATCAACTCTTTAGTTACAACTACCCCAATGTCAAACAGTATAACAATATAGGAAGTGAATTTTTTATAATTACCAAGCTCCATATGAACTTAGGTTCCTGTATTTCACATTTCATAATATTACAACACTAATATCAAATTATCTTTTTAATTATTATTCTTATGTGTGCCCCCAAGTCTCTATTTTTTATTCTTGCTGTGTTGGACATTTGAATGTGCTTCCATATATTAATGTCTATGTAACACTAGATGCATGTGTCATGGCACTGGCATCCAACTTGAAGCCATGAAAACACTGCAATGCAGGTACCATACACCTTTTGGTTTGCATGTTCAATTAATAATTTGCAAGTTCCAACATGAAGACATGTAAATAGTGCCAGGTTGAAACACTACAAAGGTCTTAATGCGAGTTTAGCTATATGATGCTTTTCTATCAGGATTTCATGGGCAAGGTACATATTGCTTTGCTGTCTGCGAGATCTTTCTTTCAACCATGGTATGTAATTTCGAATGGTACCATCCGGTACGGGCGGTAGGTATCGGTCCGACGGCATACCGGTACGCTGTCACGGTCTTAGCTGGAAATGCCTAAGGCATGAGGCACCCTTGCGGCAAAGACGCAAACTTAGCTTGCATTGCCTAAGTCACGAGGCACCCTTGCGGCAAAGACGCGAACTTAGCTTGCGTTGCCTAAGTCACGCTTCGCCCTTACGATTTGCGTCCGCAAAGATCAGCCCACTTGCAACCTCTCACAGGTCCCGAAGGACCTGTAAAAAGAGAAAGTTGATTAGTTCAAAGAACGAGCGACGGATAAGTCCCAACGTCTTGCGAAAAGGGGAAGCTTTACAAGCAATTCAACGAGTACCTTGCGTGCATAAGAGAAAAGAGGGAGAGGGGGAAAACAAGGACTAGAAAGTTGAACGAACAGCTGCAAGTCCACAAACAGCTGCTCACCGGATTGTCACGGACTTAGCTGGTTTTGCCTAAGTCGTGCGGCACCCTTGCGTGTCCGTCCGCAAAGGTCAGCCTCCCCGAAGCCTCCCATTGTCCCTTAGGACTAACAAAAGAGAGAACGGGTTAGAGAGAACGCCTCACTCGGGATCCACAAGCAAACATCTCCGAAAAACACTTCATAGACAATGCAAATTACAAACAGACTTTACAAGCTCTGAATAGTTGCACAACAAAGGGTAAAATGGTCCATTACTGACCGAGAATCTCTCGCACGTGTCCACATGACACAACCTTTATTTACAAGCCTAAAAAGGCCACCAACCCAACTAAAATGGGACTATTAAGCCTTCGGCCGCCCCTCTACATGCTGTACAAGGCATGAACATGCCAAAAGACACGGACATACATAAGCATTACATCAAACACCTTATTTACAAGTTTGTCCGTGACATTCTCCCCCACTTATTCCTTCGACATCCTCGTTGAAGCCTTTGTCGACACTGCAACTCCTCGCCTTTGCTGAGTCTTCAATCTTCTGCTCCAGCTACAATGCGCCTCTTGGCTCCTAGCTGCTCTCCGCTACTGTTTTTGAGTAGTCGGACCTTTGATCCGCCATGCTGCTTCAACTCACCAACGACTCTGACTCTAGTGTGGGGTTGGCTGAGTTGTGTTGATCATTGTTGATTCCTGCGGATCCCCTAGATGAAGGAAAATACCATCCTTACTGCGCCAGTCTCTCAAATGCCTCATGCTGCTTGAACTGGGTGGATGCTTGTTGGAGCTTTTAACGAGCATCGTCTCGCAAACTTCTGAAGTTTTGGGTCCTTCCTCCATAAAATTTGCTCATTGACTCTTCTTTCACTTAGTTGTCACATCCAAGTAGGTTCGCATCACTTCCGCTTTCGATTGGCATTTCGTTGGGAAATGAAGCGGACAATCTACTCTCAGTAGCACTGATCACCGTTGGTGAGGATTTGACAACTATTGTCTTTCATTATCTTCGAAGGGTCTTTGAACTTGTGCAGAGCTCCTCTGCTGGATAGATAAGAGAATTGGGGTACTCGGTTTCGCCCATTCTCTTAAGGGTTGAGAAGGCAAAGGTTACTTGACTTCGCCCGCCTCCTCGAGGTTGCACTCCATGCATCGAGCTGGTTACTAGCCTTCGCCTGCTCTTTTCTCACACTTCTGAAGCACTTGAAGTGTTTGCACTCCTTGCGTTGAGTTAGTTACTGTGATTCACCTTCTCAATGCCATCGAACTTCTGGAATGCAGGAAGTTTTCACCCCAACTTGGAGTAATTCTCTCATAGGTTTGGTCGCCTCTGGGATTGTATCGTCTTCTCCATCAACCCTGCCGCTTACTCCGCTGAGTAGCAAAGGTACAGCACCGCGTACTGCCTGCTTCGTTCCTTGGTTATGCACTCTTGCATGACCCGAAGTCCTTCACTTTCGGCTATCTTGATGAGAAGCACATTGACACCGGTCTTACGAAGTTCTTCGGCCTCTGCCCTTCAGCCTTGTCACGGTACTTGGAGATTGCCTCTGCATTCTCCACCTCCTCGGCCCCTTTCACGACCAAGCGCTCTCCCTCCATAAGAGCAAGGGATCAATGACTTTCACGGAAGTCCCGCCTCTGCAGTACCATGGCGCTGCCATGCCCATGGCCCTACTATCCGTCGCCTCGCATCTGCATCCCTTTTCTTCGCAATCAGTAGATATGCCTTTGTGGCACTCCTCCGAGTCCA